CACAGAAGCATGGGGGTTGGTTTATATCATTCATACTGGCAAGCAGCCTTTGGAGTATCATCACTGGCAGCTGCCAAGCCACTCCCTAGCAACTAAACAGAGTATCCTAGCAACAGATTAACAAGACCTACATCTCTGCATCAGAACATTGTATAGACATGGGGATTGGCTCTTTTGACTAATGCTAGCAAACAAGACTTCCAACATGCTACTCATGCTAACACCGAATAGCTACATGCTAATAGCAATTACCTAAAACATGACAAAAAAGACCCTAGTGCCGAGTTTTGCCACAGCAAGCACCACTCACATTTTCTTCAGAAAATGTACATATCTAGTATTATTATTATTAAAAAATGAATAATGAAATATTAATTTGGTCAGGCTGGCAGATGAAGGCTGGTCTGAGCTCTCTGGTCCTGATGTGGTGGGCTTGAGGTTCCTGCTGCCTTCACGGAGGCCCCCTTAGTTGAAATCGCTTCACAGAAATTCAAAGCTTCCTGATTCCAACATTACCATTTTATAATAAAACTCTTGAGAATCTAAAAAAAAAAAAGCACATACAATTTTTTTTTTATAATCTACTACACCAGTTTGTGTAAAACAAGACAAAAATACTGATTAAAATGTTTTTTTCTTCTGTTTTTGCAGTAATAATGGTAGCAGACTTACCATCAGTTGGCTTGAAACCAGAGGGCTCTGCAACAAAGAATGGTTTGGGATCAGCCGGCTGTGGGTTCGGCTCTAAGTCCTCTGGTTGAGACACAAATGGCTCCACTCTGGTCTCGCAGCAGCAACAGCAGAACGAGGGACACTTTAGAGTCTTTTGTGGTTTCTTGAAGAATGAAGAGCTCCCATTCTTCATCTTCTTCCACAAATTGGTATGATTACCTAAAAAAAAAAAAAAAATCATTCACTTATTAGATTTGTTTAAAAAAAAAAGAATCATCCTCACATGCTAGTATGCTGTGCTTGTATTTAATATCTACATAAATGTCCCAGTTTCCAGTGTAATTTCAGTCTCACCTGTGCTGTTCTCCACAGTGTCTACAGGAGATGCCTCTTTGTCACTCTGCGCCTCCAAGCTCATTGAAGGCCCTGTTGAATACATGTTCCTGCAGTCGGAACATGCACATGCTTCTCTAGCAGGAACATTCTGCCAAGCGACTCTTCGTTCATCAGTGGAAGACATGGCACTGCTAATGCTTAACAAATCCAAGCTATCGTCACTTCCACCTTCACCTATGAAGAGGTCGCTGTTAAAGCTCCATTCGCTCAGCCTATGGACCGGTTTTCCTCTCTGGACGGAGAACAGGCCACAACTGATCATACGATGCTTACAGTCATCTTCGGATGTGTCGCTGCTAAGGCTGAACTCATCTAGGCAATCAGCATCTTCTGTCTAATTGCAAAAGTTAAAAAGAACACAAGAGTTATTATTATGAGCATGTTGAAGCACGTACATAACCTTTAAGATTTGAGTCTCTCAGTATCAAACCTTAAAGGTTTTAGAATCGAAAATCTGTAAATCGTTTTAAACAGATGTTTTGATCAAGACGCAACTTATGTAAAATCTAAATATTTATTGAATTCAGTAAATGTACCTGTTTGCTGCTAAATGTAGGGGTTTCCTCATTCACTGTGCTAAAGCTTCCCATTTCATAGCCAAACTCTTCAGATTCTGAAAAAACACACATAAAGAACGTTATAATAAAAAAATTTTTGTGTGTGTAGAACAAGACAAAAATACTGATTTAAAATGTTTGTTTTTGCAGGGTACCGCAGTAATACTGGCAGCAGACTCACCATCAGTTGGTTTGAAACCAGAGAGCTCTGCAGGACATGATGAATCAAGATCGGCCGGCTCTGGGTCCGCAAATGGCTCCACTTTGGTCTTGCAACAGAGGGAAGGACGCTTTATAGCCTTCCATGCCCTCTTGAAGAATGAACAAATCCTGTTCTTCATCTTCTTCCTTAAACTGACATGGTTTTCTAAAACGAAGACCGATTTGTTCAAATAGACATTCAGGCACGTGCCCCTTCAGATTTTTGAGTATATATATATA